TACCGATTCTGATTGGCCAAATTTGTTGTTTTTACGATTCTGATTGGTCATTCACATGATTTCATATGAATACCACATGATTACTATTAAAAATGATCTACAGACACCCTACCCTTAAATAATACTATAAATTCGAAGTAGAACTATTCTTTATGTATTTTATTTTTAGTTTATAAGTTTTATGATAACAGACCCAATACTCAAGATTATCAACTGATTTCGTTCCATAAACTCTTTTACAGAACTATTACCTGGTCTTTCAACCTTTTTTTGTTTGACTAAAAATTGACCACTGATTTGTAATGTGGAAGACTGAAGTAAATTTTCATATCTATTTGTACCATCAGATTCTGACCTATCAAGATTATCAGCTTTAGGCTCTAACATCATATTATCTTCAGGCTTTAACACCATATCATCATCAGGCTCAAACACCATATTATCATCAGGCTCAAACACCATATCATCTTTAAGCTCTAACACTGTATCATTTAAAAATTCATCACTTATTTCACTGCTTGGCTAATTTAAAATCTACAACCTTGATGAATTAAATATTTATTGAATCCAGAGAACTATAATGTTTTATTCAAGAATATAATAAGATTATTAATTTTTTATAAAAAATATAATAGATTATAATAACCAAAGGATGATAAAATAATGAATTACCAATATTTTATAATATTAATTTCGTTTAAAAGTAGATTAGTGATAGTAATAATGCGGGTACTAAAACAGGTGATTTAGTGAGTATTTATCAGTAAACTTGAAACTTTATACAATATATAACTTATATGTACAGTGTAGAAAAAGTTTTCTAATCAAAATATGATGTATTTGCTGTTACCTTTGTTCTTTTTTAAAAATTCCACAGAAACGATGACAATGGTTTCAAAAATTCCCATAAAATTATTAGCCTGAACTGATTTCAGATAATGCGTTAATGCTTTATGCTTATTCAATTCAGTTCTAATTAAGTTTGCCAGAACAGCCTCCAAAAGTGTGGGTTAGATAATAAGACACCTAACTACTGCATAATTTTTTAAAAAATAGTTGGATTGCCTAGCTTTATTATTGTAAAAATTTTCTTATTGTTAATCTGAATTATATAACAAAAAAATATTCTACTATAAAACTGGTTACTGTGCAATTATTTAGAACATGTGACCTATACTTTTGGGGGCTGCTCTGGCAAACTCGTTCTAATTTGCTTGGCTTTAACTATTTCATGAATATACAGAAACAAGATTTTTATAAAAGTAACATTATGGATATATTCACAAAAAAAAAATTTTTTTTTGCGATTTAAATTCAAATACCTTGCATTTAAAATTGTTCTGTTATACTCAATAATTATTACACTAACTTTATCATTCTTTTCAAATTAGAGAAACAATTGAATTCTATGAATTCTATAAATCTGCATGTTATTGCAAAAACAATTGTAATATGCAGGATTCATTTATTTATAGAATTTGATTGTCTTCCTAATTTGAAAAGCTTAAAAAACTTTATGATTGTCCATAATTGTTCATATAAACCGTTAATCTGGGTTATGATCTGGGTTAAATATCTGACTCATCGAGTTACTATTATCTGATCTGAGTCAGAACACTACTCTCGACAAGACAACAACAACTCCTAAGATACTATTTGTTACTACTGTGATAACTTTTATCTAAGACTGCAGAATTAAAAGAAAGGATAGTAGAAGGAACTCTCGAAATTATCGATCCTTTAGTCGTAACTATAGATACTGCTCTCAAAATAATCGATCCTATAATAGATCTTGATCTCACAACCAGGACAGATCTAGAAATCGAAACTATAATCAATATAATAGATCCAGAAGTAGAAGCCAATCTTGTAATATAGTATCACTCTAACAATTGCTCCTTCTATAATCGAAATAACAGGTCTTAAAGTTGATTCTCTACCCCTTATCCTCGAGATGTATATACCACAAATACTGTTAATAACTATACTTATAAACAATTTAAAACTTTCTTAATCAATGAATCAATTAGAACAGCCTTAGCTAATTACTTTAATAAAGAATCTAATACCTTTAACCAGATACAGACACCAACTTATACTACTCCTATTAAATGCAATATTAAACTTAGAAACAGACCCTACCATGCTGTTATTAATAGTGGCACTGCAATTAGTATGATCTTACATCAAGTTGTCAAGGAACTTGGTCTGAAGATTAAAACTCTCTCCACTAGCTTAATTGTATCAGTCACAGAACCCTTTATTAGACCTTTAAGGAATCATCAAAAACCTTCCTGTTGAAATCAAAGGAATTACTATTTCCTTAGATATAGAAGTAATGTCTGTTACTTCTTATTCTTTGCTCTTAGGAAATAACTGATCACAAAAAGTTAAAGCCAGTTACAATTGGAAAAATAAAGCTTATACTATCAGATAGAACAAAAAGAAGATCTATATTTCTACTACCTATGAACAGCACCAACTACTACCTGCTCAACCTACTGTTACTAATGAAAAAAAGTTAGCTCAATTCAAACAGGAATATCTTACTCCCAAGGAAGCCTATACTGTTGCTCTACAACTTCAATGAATAAAAACCCTTGGATTACTCAAACCTCCAGATCCAGATGCCGAACTCCCAAGTATTATCTAGTAGAACTTGCCGAGGATGCAACTCTGTTAATCATCTTTTTGCTAATTGCCCTCATAACCAATATTATCATTGTCATCAATATAGACATATCTTCACTTACTGCCCTCATCAAGCTCCAAAAAGAGATATTTATAAAACCTGCTCTCAATCTGGACATCTCTATAGAAACTGTCCTCAAAATAGATATCACCAATGTGATCAATATGGTTATATCAAAATTGACTGCCCTCTTGCTATCTACAAATTGGATAACTAAAGATACAGATGTGGATGTTTCTCTAACAAAGTAAATAACTAATAGCAAACCTACTACTCCTGAAAAAGAACCCACCATTGTTGTTAATGCAAAGTGCCTCAAAAACCTGAAGAACTTAGATTGCTTAACCAAAATCTAGTCTGTAGAGTATGCTGAACTGACTTCTACCATAAATTAGACCGAAATAACTCTCGAAGCATTGAATACTTCACCAATGGTGATGGCCAAAGAATGTTGACCAAATGTTGAGTCTGTAGTGAAGAATTTATTAGATCCAAAATGTACAAACTGGATACAGTTAAGAAAGATGTCTGGTTTTGTGACCTAGAGCATTTGTATGTTTACAAAGCTGCTAAAGATATTGAATGGAACTCTAACTACAATTTGTAGACCTGAGTTAAACACTATACCGAGTCTACCAGAAATGCAGGACATGCTTATGATTTCAACCAAAGTTGAATCTATCACCTAGCTCAAATCTAACTAGGAGAAAGTAATAAACAGATTGCTAGTACACTCGAACCTCTAGCAACTAACCATTCTAATCAAGACTATACCAATGATGAAATCAATCTCATCATAAGAGCCTCTCATGTTTAACTAACCTCAACTGAAAAAGATGAATTACAAAGAATTTTAGCTGAATCTTTCGATATTAGCCATTCAGATTTTGATTAGTACCAAGCAATGCAAAATCTACAAAAAAACTTCCAAGAAACTGTAGGACTTTGTAAAAATTGTCTTATGGCCAAAGCTAAGACTAAACTTGCACAATATGATCAGTATTGTCAAGAATATTATGATGAACTCCATCCTCCTCCTGTACAAGAATCAGAACTAGAAGAACCAACTTCAAAACCAACTCCATTTATTGTTAATAATAATATACAGAAAATAATTCGCTTGTTGCAACAACAAGTCAAACAACAGGAACAAATAATTAATGCTCTTTAAGAAAAGATTTAGACCTTTGAATAACAAGTTCAAACTATTACTACCCTTTAGGATAGAGTTAATCACCTTGAAGCTTTTTATAGTAGATTACAAGGATTATGTTCAGAGTTTTCTCCTTCTGAAAATAAACCTTTAAATTTTTAAATAATTCTAAGCAAAATGAAAAACTACTTGGTGATATAGACAAATTACTAACAGAAACAGATACCCTCAACTTAGCTATACAACAAAATTTATTAAAACAAGAAGTATACACAATAACTCAAGAAGTAACCCCAAAGATAAGACCTTTAACTCCAAGTCAAGGAGCTCAATTTCATCAATTGCTTCTTGAATTTGCTGACCTCTTTGCAAAGGATATTACTCAACTAGAAAGAACCAATCTAATTATACATCAAATATATATAAAAGATGTACCTCCTATTAGTTCTTAATTCTATATGGACCTTTAGCTGAGCAAAAGTTTATTAATGAAGAAGTATAATGAATGTTAGATAATAAGTTGATACAAGAATTCTCAAGTCCCTGGGCCTCTCCCGTTAAATTCGTAGCCAAGAAGAATGCCAAGAAAAGATTTTGCGTTAACTACAAAAAATTAAATACTGTTACTAAGAAGAACCAATATCTATTACCCCAAATAGATGAAATGTTAGATTCATTAGCTAGAACCACATACTTTTTTACTTTAGACCTTATAAGTGGATATTGGCAAGTTATGGTACACCTTGCAGATAGAGAAAAAACTGCTTTTATTACAAGATATGGCACCTATGAGTTTAATGTAATGCTATTTAGATTGTGCAATGCCCCTGCAACTTTCTAATGTCTTATGAATCAAGTCTATAAGGATATTGCTTACAAATACGTAGTAGTTTATCTTGATGATACTAACGTATTTTCTCGAACATTTGATGATCATATCAAGCACCTACGCGAAGTATT